TGCTTCATCAAGCGAAATGGAAGTTCGCCGTGGACCTTAAGTTAAAATGAACGAATTGAAATTTGTGACACGTTTGCATTTTGTACCTTTGAGTTCTGAGACGGAGACGGAAGCCGCTTAGGTATCATAAATTTCTCTTGGTACGGAAGATCTAGCGAGCATGACTGTAGCTTGCCTTTATTTTTTCCAAGGACGAGAGAGATTGTAAGAAGGATTTTTATAGAGTAATATCAAAACCTTGAAAACAGACAAACTGTAGGAGAGCTTTTTCTGAAACCCAATTATCCGAACATGCAGGAATTTTTTCTATCTGGGCAACATCATCTTTTTTTCCAAAAGCAGAACATTTAGATAACATTTAGATTTGATTTTGTGTACTTGTTGTTGTTCTGTATGGTGGCCGAATATGAACGCGCGACATTGGTGCGTTCGCCAGATTCGCCACGTGAGGGTGAATTGTTGCTGTTTACGATTAGGGTTTTGACATTTCTTTTGTGAGAGCCGACGTAAATGTTGTTCCCAACGTCGCTGATTGATGTAACACTGTGCTCATCTTCGTGTAATTTCATATCAGTTTAACTTCCTCGGGTTTGGCGCATAGAAATCTTTTAAATTTTAGATATGTTATATTTTTCAACATAGCAAAGCAATAGACGAAATAAAAAGTTGTTCGAATGAGTCTTAAGCTATCTTAATTCAACTTTAAAATTCAAATTTCGCGCTTTTCGCTGTATTGACCAATCAGAGCATTCAGATTTAATTTGATTAGAGAAATTAGCGCCTGAAAAATAACTGACGCTATTGCCGCGGGCTATTGTTTTTCTGCCTGCTTCTTAGCCGGACCATTACTTAAATAGTTCGGTGTATAAAAACTGCAAAACTCAATTTGCCTTTACCCAGTCTTCACTAAAGGAATGAAGAAAGTTAGCTTATTTTGCTTATTCTTACATTTAAACCCGATGATAAGGGAGTCAGTGAGTCATAAGTGATCATAAGTAATTGTTTTACCAATTGGTATATGCGGCAAGGCATCCACGGTCATCGCTGCATTGCAATAAAAGCACAGTTCCTTGCTGTGCCCATTTCAAGATACTGCTTGAACTGCATCGATGGGATGTAATTCAGTTTTGAAATGTCAGTTTTGTCCATAAGTAAAAACTCACTGTATAATCAAGTGGGCAAATTTTTAAAAACGGTTTTAAAGAGTTTTCAAGACGCAAATCGATGGACAAATCGATGTTACGAAATCGGAGGACCATCTTTCAGCCTTTTTAGTGGATGAAACATACAAATGAGATTGCTAGTATGGCAGCAAATACTAAAAAGCAGCTGCAACTGGCTGTCATCAACAACACAGCTTGCTTGGAAGATAAACATAGGTGAATGCTGGCCCCGACTATAATATTCCAGTCAATTAGACTGGGACAAAATGGATTCCATCTTGGAAAAGGGCCCAGTTAAGATTGCGACACTCTTAGAAACTATGAAAAATGATCCATTTTGCTTCGTTTGAATTACGGGAAAGCAACACCTATTTTTCGCTTCAGGTAAGCAGGGCTGAAAATGAAATAACTTGATCCTTTTTAGGACAAAAAGGTAAACTAAAATAACCCCCTTTTAATTTTCTATAGGACAACAAATTTATTTTACTAGTGTAGCATGCGCACTCTGTCAAGGGTGAACGATACATACTCTGCCTTCTAAGTGCTTGAGTTTAGGTCGCAAAAATCACCCCCGGTAATTCTCCGAGACAGACATGCATACAGTATTTGATTTTGGATTCCACGCTATGGATTAATAATAATAATAATAATAATAATAATAATAATAACAATAATAATAAAAGAGAAAAGAATCTTTATTACAAAACCTCAATTAAAATCCTATTTACAATCAACCTGCTGTTACAAAAAATCTAATTAATTCATCAAAAACACTATCTACAATTCCATCTGTTACAAAAGAAACCCCTCGTCCTTCATTACTAACAAAAACAATCCTATATATTATAAGTGAAGATAGAAAAAACTATTCATTTACAAATTCTAAAAAATAGAAGTAACTTAACCTTACATAAAAGAAGAGGAAATAGATATAATTAATAATAAAAGTTCAAAATTCTATAAAATTAAGAATTCCATTATGCATTATGCATTATAATAATAATAATAATAATAATAATAATAATAATAATAATAACAACAACAACATACTAGCTGTTATAAATGGTTGCCCTACACTGGGCAAGTAAAAATAATATTGAAGGAAAATCAACTATCAGAAAATGTAAAAAACAATATCCAATGTTGATGGATAAAAACTAAGAATCATACAACTGCGTAAATTAAGACTCTAAGAAACCTCTAAAAGATTTACCAGTGTTTTTTCTGTGTTTTAAAAATCACTATACAGTCAACTTCCTTTAGGTGTACTGGCAAGTTATTGAAAGCCTGGATTCCTGGATTCCTGGATTCCTTGGGCAGCATTCTAAAGATCAGAAATATGGATTCCACCAGCAAAAATTTCCTCAGCCTTCACACAGACGTTTTAGTTTTCTTTTCGTTATTATCGCTGCAACGGCCAAAGTTCAGTGCTCAGTACATTTTTAAGAATTGTTGAATGTTTCAAATACATACTTTCATCAGTTTGATCATACTTTTTTTCTCTTTAGACAAAAAGCCAAAACAAAACAGCAGCAAATCAAAAACACCTAACGATATTCACAGCAGTAAGAGGCCAAGAGCGTTCGCCAACGAATCGCCATCAGCCAACAACTTTTTGATGTAATGTTACAAGGACTTTGCGCTTATTAGCTAGTTTTTTGCATTGCCTGTTGTATTTTCTGGCATTTGATTAGCTTGAACCAACTGTGCTATTTTTGGACAGTTTGCCTTAAACTATACAAATTAATCCTTAATTGGACAGTTCGTAAAAATTAAAGGATAACTGCTTTGCTGACAATATCGGATTAACTAACAGGTAGAAAGAGAAATACATTAGGCCTCACCATCAAAACGATTTTTCACTTATCAATTATCATCAATTTAGCTCTCACCGAATAGATATGACCACAAGCATTTTCTTCTTTTTTAGGTCAAAGACTTCTTACCGCCAAAGAATAAAGCGCACAATATCCTCAGTTACCTAAACGTCTCGAGCCTGGTATCAGTGTTTAGTATAACCTGTGAACCAAATGAAACGAAATGCAGTAAGAGTATAGGACAATGCACATCTTGCAAATCGAGAGCCTAGTTCCTTCAAGTGGCTTTCAAGGGTGCTTTTCGGAAAACTTTGCCCCTGGCGGCCAAAAACCAGCCTACGAGCATACTCCCCAAACGGAAAGCTTGCTCTCAGGCTACACCTTAAGCCGCACCAAAATCAGCTTTAATTGCGCACCGATGTTAAATATAACTGTCATTTGTCATTTGATTCAGGGAAAAGACCAAGGGTGTTGTCAGTAAGGAGGATTCAGGTGGGGGGTGAGACAGAGTGAATTTACGATTTTCCGTATAAAGTCACTTTTAGACAAATCGTTAACCAGGAAAAAACGAAAAATAAGAGTGACAAAAAAAGACAACTCAGTAAACAAGCCGAGACAGAGGGACGAGACAGAGGGATTTAAGAGAAGTTACATAATGTATGCTAATCTAGTTTTCAAAAATCCCGGTATGTGTATAGAATAGATATGATACATGTGCGAGACTACGTGACTACGTGTTCTTTCTTGTGCATATTAAAGTGCATTATCTCAGTCCATTTGCTTGCATTTGCAACGTCAGATCTTACGAAGTCACTCTAGTAATACAATGTAAGAATCATCGTTGTCTTTGTCATCATCCATGCCATCTTCAGCGGTTAGCTTCTCTTGGAAGTCCCCAATCGAGCATTCCAAAGCCAAACCATCGTACGGCGACTTCAAATTCTCTTCCTGCAGTCTTTCATTACGGTCAGATCGGTGCAGTCGTAGAACCATGAGATTTGGGTTCTCTCTTAGCCCTAGTGCAAGCCTATCTCCAACGGTTTTAACGTAGGGTGGAACTCCGTCTGGCGTGAAGGAAGCTAGCTGCCTCGCTGTCTTCATGTCCCATGCATAAAAGCTGTTTTCTTTATGAGATCTTGATATGATAACTTCTCCATCAGGGGATACATAAACTTCAGAAACGTCTGAGCAAGCAATAGTACATAGTACCTTGCCACTCTCCATGCTCCAGACCTTTATGCCCACGCTATCCGTCGCGGTAACGGCTGTCTTTGAGGACCAGGAAACTGCCACGGCTCTGGCTGTTTCGTAAGCTTCTGCGTCAAAGAGTTTGCAAATCAACTTACCAGTCTGAAGATCCCACAGATGGGGCTGCGAATACTGAACTAAATTCACGAGGTAATTGCCGTCGTCTGATATGCTGGCTTTGAATAATGATAACTGTTCTCCTTTGTAGCTCAAACACTTGTGAGTAAAAGTGCTTGTGTCAATAGCTATCAAGTGCAATTGTTTGTCGGTGTGCTGGGTCATCGGGCTTGCTTGGGAACAAACAACCATTTTCCCGTTGTTGCTGATGAGCATCTCCTCAAACCGTCGCTTTTCTCGGAATTTGACCACTTTGACCACTTTTCCGTTGTCGACATCCCACAGTTTGACATATCGTCGTCCACGAGAAAACGACATCATCCTCTTGTTGTCAATGAACCCAAAAGCATTCATTCTTTTGCAGGCTTTTCCTTCGAGATTCCTTTCGATGATTCCCTCTGCAAAGTTGAAAACTTTGTAATGAGGAAGATTCTGATCGTACATAAACCCAACTCCACGGGTTGCGGTAAACATGCGTATGGGATATGGAGACACAGTGAGACCTGTCAGTCGACGAAGGCGCTTGCCACTTACAGCGTCCCACACATCGATTCCGCTCCCACGTTGAACGATAGTCGTTACCATGACATGACGTTGGTCAAAACTGGGCGAAATGGCAGTCATTTGTTCAGCAACAGTGTTGCCTTGAATGTTGTTAAAAACAGATGATTTCGTACATATCGGCAGTGACTACCCTCTTACCGTCGTCAGTGATTTGCAATCGATGAAGACCTTGTTCCATTTTGAAATTAGGCAGCTCACGAATGAGAATCCCGGAAAGATCGTACAAACGCAGGTTATCAAGGGAGGATGGAATCACAGCCACTTGGTCTTGGGATGTTATTTTGACTTCCTTGATAAAAACGGCTTCCCCTTGATTTGTCTTTGGGTAGTTGAGGGTGATATTGTCTACCTCTTTGCCAATCTTTACATTGACGAAATGAACTGTGCTCTTTCCTCGAATGTTGTAAACAGCATAGTTACCACGTGCGTCCAGGCTGCCAAGTTTATCAACAATGTTTACATCGGTGAGAGGTAAACGATGAAGCATCTTTCCACTTTTTACATCCCAAATCTTTAAAGCGTCTGGGCATATGGCAACGAGCAAGTTTTCGTCATCTGCAAAACTTACTGGAGCCTGGTGATAATAAGAAAACCAATGATCATCTGTAACCTCGAATTCTTGGACTATCTGCCAAGTCAAAGTGTTCAAAAAGAACACTTTACTCGATCCAGCAAGGATAAGTAAATCGGGATCCTTTTGGCTAAGTTGATTGAAAATTGTTTCGTTTATATCCTTTGGTTCTCTGATGGTGAATTTTCTAAGTTCTTTTCCGCCGCGATAATCAATGATTTTGATCAGCAATCCCTCTGAGGTCTGACTGGTGACTGCTATAGTGCGGTTATCGTTACCCATGCTGATGACGTCCATGCTGAAGTGCGTCAGACCAATTGCAAAACGAAGGGTTCCGCCTGGCGCCGTCAAACACTTTCCGTTTGGAAGGAAACAATCTGTGGACGCATTTAATGCCTCCTTTAAAACCTTGTAGACATGAGGATACTGCTCCTGTCTCTGGAGAAAGTTGTACATACGACCAATCATCTGAGTTGGAAGTTGCCCTCTGTCATTGGAAAGTGAATTGGCTGAGAGTTGTAAACATTCGTACAGGAGTTGAACGTCATCATCGTCATGCCTTACTTCTAGATACAAGGAAAAATCGCTCATAAGTTGTGGTACGGAAGTGCCTCGAATCTTTGCCAAAAGAAACTTGAAGTTGCAAAGGCATTCTTCCTTCATTTCGTCTAAGTTTTCAGAGTGCAACAGGTGGAATGGTAATTCACTCAATTTGCGAAGATTGAATATTTGTTTTCCTTCCGGGGAGTCGAACATCAAAGGCTGCTTAGCAACCAATCTGTCCATAGACTTCTTTTCGCCCTCTTTATTCTCAAATGGCTTCTTCACACCACCGGACCACTTGCCAAGAAAATATTCGCTCATGTAAGAGTGAATCTTTTTAGCTTGCTTAGCTGTCAAATATCTTTCTCGAGCGGCCTCTATAAACTGACGATGGTACCAGAAGACTACTTGAGTGCCATCTGCACCTCTCTCTGTAAGATAGTCTCCAATGTCTGACCTAATACGGATCCACAACAACGGCGGAAGTCTTCTGACTGGCGGCGTCCAATACTGACAGACGTCATTCAAGACTTCATCATCCAAAGAAAGAAGATCTTCCAGCTCGGGCTCCGTCACACCATTCTTGGAGGCGGTAATGTAAGCCAAGGCGTGACTGACAAGAATTTTGCCATGCCGTCTCTCTAATCGTTGGAACATGTCATCGATTATCTCTCTCACATTTTGCTCAAGACAAATATCAGACTCGGGAGTGTATGACTTCCAGCGTAAGGCCTCATCAAATGCAAGTTTAAGGTAGAGAGGAAGAGGGCATTTCTGGAAGGCACCCATAACATAGCTTTTCTGTTTTGGAAGTACGGTACGACCTGCTGCCTTAAGCCAGTTATCAAAGATGACATCTACCTCGTTTAGAGGGATTCTGGGTACTTCAAGAAAACATTCACTTGCCAGGATAGTCTAAAGTAAGAAAAATAAGACAAACTGATCAGAAAATATTTCAAGCAATATTATAATCATAAGTATGGACAAGCACCGGTAATATCAGGGTACGTTCCCTGAAAAATCTAAATAAAAAAGATACAAACAAACAAAAACCAAGTTAAAGTAGTACTCTCCTAACTGGCTGTGAAATGCTTTCTATTATAATGACGAGAAATCTGTTTAACACAGTACTATACTCATTTGTTGAACATTTCAGCACAATAACACTAAACAAAGCACTTCTCTAAAACGAATGAGCCTCGTGATCGTTACAGCATTCTCACCTCATGCGCAGACTATGGAAACGGAAATATTTATGCATAAAAGTGGTGAGAATGTTGAGACGATGTTGTGATAGTCAAAACGGGGCATTAGAAGCCTTTTGTTAATCTTACTCTCAAGCTAGGTAGTGCTTGATATTCCTGTCCGGGTAGTGTTGAAAGGATAGTGTACACATTGTATGGTAAGTGCCTTGGATACCAATCGATTTGGCGTCCACCATCGTCGATAGACAGCTGATCCAAAGAATCCAAAACAAGAATGACAGGATTGTTCTCTGCCGATTTCTCTAGACATTCTTGGAAGTAGTCTTTGAGTGATTTCATGTCCTGCGAGAGATTAAACTACACTCCGTAAGTGATCGGTCTAATAGCATGCTTTTTGAGGTTTTGAGCTATGAAAATTCAGAGAGATGGTAAAGCTAGGTGTGGTAATTAACGGAGAAGGATACATGATTCACTGTTAATTAATGGCATCGTAGGATCAAATGTAGCTCTCAAGTAACTTATTTTATGTAAATCAATAATGAGGCACTCTTAAGGGGGAACGTGTGTCCCTCGTCTGAATTTCAAAACCTGTTGGTAATGCAGGAAACATCTGGCACGAAGACAAAGACGGAACTCAAATAAGAAAGGTATGCCAAGAAGGGGTGCTCTTTTGATAATACGACAGTACAAGAAAACGTCTGAGTCCTTGGAGAAGCTCCCGCAGCCTTGTTAGTTGATTTTGCTTGCTATGCGTCACTCTGTAAGTATCCGCGTTCTACCAGTTCTACAGAAGTCATCCGAATGTCACTCGATAGTCAGGTTTCTAGTCTATTCTAGTCTATCCTATCGCTCATTTCAAGTTAACAGCTTGCCCAATCTTGCCCAATAAAATAAGCGAAAACAATGGTAATAGCTGGGACTGGGAAAATGCCTCCTATTGTAATTCATCTACAGGTATGTACAATTACCTCTGGTATATTCCCAGGTATATTTCCGGTTGCCTTGCACAGTTGGATGCACATACTCCTTAGAAGAGGTCTGATACTAGATGAATCGGGCGAAGTACCAATGAATCGCAAAATGACAATGGAAGATTCATCTTCGACCCATTGTTTGACTTCGCTGGCAATTTTGGCCACGATCGACGTTTTCCCGCAGCCCGACTCCCCATGAAGTACCACAGCATGCTTGTCATGTTCCAGCAATGTCTTCTTTGAGGCTTCCAGAAATTCCTATCGCCCATAAAATGATTTGCACTTCTTCTGACAAAATGAACCGTGTTGGAACAGTTCTTCAGCAAAAGAATCTCTGGAGTCAGAGGTCTCGTTATCTTTAATCCCGGTATCTATCATTTGAGTCAGAATAGAATAAAAGTCTTTGCAGAGTTTCTCTATATACTGGGCATGTTCTGGTGACACTGAGGGGTCCACACCTTGTTCAGTCCACTTGACATCATACGTCATGATATTTTCACTAGGTAAGACACGTGGCAGGTCTTTTTCACGAAGGGTGCTCAGAAGTTTCTGAGCATTTTCATCTACGGATACAATCTCCCCCCATGTCTTGTCTATGAATTTTCCAGCGTTCTTTGCATCTATGTTAGCAGTGAGATCTAAAATGACTCTCTTGAACCAGAAACAGTGTTTTGATGGACTGGGTGTGTTGATGATTCCTCGTCGGATCTCATCCTCAGTTACTGGAAAGAAAAATTCAAACAAGTTAGTGTTTAACAGGACCTTTAGAAAGTCGTGCGGTGAATAAAAAAACGTATGTCCAGTAAACCCAAACCGAGCTGGGACTGGAGCCCCGGGCATGGACTCCTTCTTCTGGAACAATAGCGATCTCTGAATCTTATGGGCAAGTATCCTTAGTTAATCTTAAATTCAGATATAATGTACCTGACTGTTGGTATTTATGTTGATCTCTCTTGTTTGTCAGAACTTTCTCAGCAGCCATTCTCAAAACAACCTGCATTCTCTCAAACGCTGCCCACCAATCAGAGGACGCCTTCTTACGTAACTCTTTGTTTTCGAAGTTGCGATAATCAGGCAGCAATGACGTAATTGGCTGCAACAAATATTGAGCGGGAACTGCGTTGTCATCTCGCCAGAACCAGTGTTTGAGCAGTTGAAGATCTTCTTTTGTGTCAATTGCCCCAAGGAGCTTCTCAAACTCTGCTGCAGCAATTGTGGCTGGAAAGGGACGGTAGCCGTACTTTTGTCCTAAAAAAGTCTGAAAATGAAATAAACCCGAACATTGAATAATACTTTTACAAGTTCTTGAGAAATCTGGTTTGCTCATTTCTTGAAGGCGCACTCCTTTTGACGCTCCTTTTCTATCCTCTGTGAATCTCTGTCGAGATTCGAGTCAGATGGACTCACCTTAAAAGGGGTCTGTATTCTAAGCTTGTCTTGAGATGGAAAACGGCATTATGAACTCTCTAACAAAGATCTATGACTGGCTCACGCCTGTTATTTAGATAGGAGATCCTTTCAGATAACTTACGATGAAGTTTGGTCCTGTGGATAGCTTTTGACACGCTCGCAGCTCTCTCATGCAGAGTTCAGTGGTCATGTGATCATCAGTAGACTCATCTCGGACCCCCCATCTCATGTCCACCACTTGAAAGTCATAGCCTCTCTCTTGACAATAGGACTTGAGTCGAGGGTACACTCGCTCCATCAGGGTGTTACGCTCCACCGAAGTATCTGAAAAGGGAGTGATACTTTATTCTCGTATACATGGTTTTCACAAGGACGCTGCGCTGCAACAATGAGTACCAAATTGTACTCAAATCATTTAAATTGATTCTGTGATAGTCCGATGCTTTGGATGTGCTTGTCACAGTATGTTTTACATTCCTTACTATACAAATGAAGAAGTGTTGTTCACCTTTAGATACATTACTTGCAAACAAATGTAAAGAATCAAAAATGAATCAGAGACTATAAACGGACCATCATTTCTTTGGCACACTGATGTATCCACAATAATCCGATATTAAGTAATCTATTTACCCGTGAAAGTGGAGCTGGTGAAGATTCGCACAATCTTGACATTATCTGGAAATTCAGTATTAAGGTCACCCATCAAGGCCTTCTGTAGCTTTTCACTGTAATTAGCGAGCAATTTTGTTTTCTTCTCTTCTTCATTCGCTTCTCCTTCTCCTTCTCCTTCTCCTTCTCCTTCTTTTTCTTCTTCTTCTTCTTCTTCTTCTTCTTCTTCTTCTTCTTCTTCTTCTCCTTCTTCTTCTTCTGGATCATCTTCTTCATTCTTCTCATCTTCTTCGTTTTGTGGTTCATTATCTTCATCTTCGGCCTCATTGCTTTTGTTGTCATTGTCGCTGAACTCGTCCTCCACTTGCCCCAGTTGTTCTCCCTCTCTATCATCGAACATTCGTTCTTCTGCAGAGTCTTCCCTTTCGTCCTCATGTCTTTCACCTTCAGCAGCTTTTTCTCCTACCTCCTGAGCTTGTATCAGCTCTACACTGTTGGGGTCTCGTTGCTTCTCCCCACCCTAAAAATTACAAAATGTCGTCTGGATAAATGCTTTCCATTCTCCGTACCAGAAATATCATGAATCTTATTTAATGCAGCTTAAATGCAGAAAATTGAAGTATTCAGTCTATACTGGGAATTTTCCAAGGTTTTCTTTTCGAATGAACTGACATGTGTTATACTGAAGTTGTATTAGTGCCAAAAATGGTTCAGCTGCCTAGTGTAGAGTTAACTGAATCAAACTTGGCTCCGCCCTATATAAAACAACCTAATGTGTGCAAGATACTGAAAAATGGTACCGCGTGACTGACTAATCTGAATGTTGTGCACCTGTGAGTCCACAAAAGCCACATAAAGAAGGATTTTGATGGGCTTCATAACCATGTCAGTCTTGTAACTACGTTTTCAATGAACTGACACAGCAAACTACCTCCTCGTTCCTGACATTCTTCTTCTTCTTTCTTTTAGACACTGTAATTCCCATGATTACTCGACGACGATTTCAGTTACTGTTAAAGAAAACAAGAGAACCTCTCGTCAACTTTTTTTTAATTTTTAGGTATCCAGATTCAACAGCATACAACAGTTTCGTGTCTTTAGTATAACACGAAATCTAAAATCGCCAAAATGGTTTCCAAATAGATCCTTATGCGAACACTGGTAAAAGACATAATTAAAGCAAGCATAAGGTTAGTTATTTTTTTTGGAATCCTAGTAAAAAAGACAGCATTAGTTTGGGACGTATTATGTTCAATTCCAGCATTCTATCGTAAAATTCACATTCAAACGAGTCTGGTCTGCCTGTGAAATGTGTTGTACGAGATTTTAGCGTCATCTACATGTAATGTGCGTGACAAAATCAATAAACTTTCTTTCAGAATGTTTTGCACCAGATACGAACAGAGTAACGATATACCAGTTACCGTAAGCAAGCCTACGTTTCCGATCCCCTAGTTTCGGTCATTTCTTACTTGCACAACATCTCAGTAGTGCTTTGAAGTAAAGCTCAGTACGTGGTAGCGTCTGGTAATACAACTTATTTACTGAACGTTAACCTTAGCATTAGGAAAAGACATGACTTTGCATAAATTTTACTCTTAATAGTCTTATTCTGAAACAAAAGGAGACATGGAAGGGAAGCTTACCATTAGGCCCCATTTGAAAATTATTTTGGCGCGGTGATTTGGTGATTTGTAAGAACATGTCAGATGAACTTCCATGATATATTATAAAGTAAAGAGTATGGCAAAAAATGGCCTTATAATCTTTTGTTGACATACAAAGCTTTCATTTTCGAATGAAATATACTAAGTATTTACGTAATCTTGTTCAAGGTAGGTTAATTGAGGGCGTGTAAATCTGCACGAAATGTTCTTAAAAGTTAAAACTACATACTAGGTTTCTTATTCCCTTAGAGTTTAATATTCAGGAGCACCCAACGACGGTTTCCTTCTGAATAAATTGAAATAAGTTTATTTGGAACCAGATAAAAAATTTCATGTCTCCCCTTCCAATTTCTTCAATGCATGGATTTTTGGGGGGTGGGGTCGATTGCGGCTTCAAAGGCTTAGAGGCTCTCGAATGTGAACTTTGAATTATCTTACAATGGTTCACGATCGCGTGAGAATCACAAGACGAAAAGTAAAATTACTTTTGGGTAATAATCACGAGCTCTTATGATAAGGCCACTCGCAGTAAATTTACTTAGCCTCGATCTCGTCATCTCGCGGAGACCCTTTATAAGAGGGTGTATCATTTCGTTAATCCTCTCGGTCTGAAAGCTGACATCAAGCCGAATCTTCGATAGCTGACCGGCTTATCCTTTGAACAAGCAGCTCTCCTTGCGAATTCAGCACAACAAACGTTAAGTATATCTCATTTCCTTCTTGTTTTCAACTGTTTGCTGTTATGGATAATACCTCCAACATTCTCCTTCTTGGTCATTCCTTTGTGAGGGGTTTACATACATTCCTCACCGAACATCACGATAGGCGTGCCGCTCACATCATGAACTTGGCTCACGAAAATGTATCTTTTCTAGGCATTGGCGGTAGAACCGTCTCTAAAATGCTGTCATTTGATTTCGATAAAATTAAGGCTTTTCAGCCAAAGGTTATCATTTTAGAACTGGGAACTAATTATTTGTGTGTAGTGGGGCAGCGCCCCGAATCTGTTGGTTCAGATATTGAACATTTAGTTCAAGTCCTCCATGATTACTGTGGAGCAGAACTTATAATGGTATGCCTAGTAATTTACCGGTCTGCGATTCCTCCGCACGTCCCCGATTTCAGCCACAAAGTAGACCTTCTCAATAAATATCTAAAAGTGGTCCTCGAACCACTCCCTTATGCTGAAGCGTGGAGCCATAGAGGGCTTCAAAGTCCATCTATTGCTGTTTTATGCCGGGATGGCGTTCATTTGAACCAAGCGGGAAACTATGCTCTTTACCGTAGCTATAGGTGAGCCGTACTATTCGCCTTGAAGAAGTTAGCCACTTTTTCTGAGGCTCAGTGACAGATTCCAACTTGTCTATCCAGTCATGCATTCTACCTTCATTATAACCGTCCTTTATCGCGGACAGGAGAGTTTTATCTTTTGTTATAAGATATTGTATTTATTTTACGGACCGGTCACTCTTTCCGGCACTTTAGCATGTTCACTGCGGCGTCTCCAATTTGGAAATTGCCAAACATGGTACCGATTTTTCTTCTATTGCCGGTTCCGTTTCTTCTCTCTCCAATTTATAATTTGAGCAGAATGCTACTGGATTAGAACCCCCCACTTCCTACTCTCCCCTCCCCCCTCCCCCCCCTCTCCTTCGTCCCCCCTCCCCACCCTCCCTCCCCCCCTTTTTTTCCTCTTTCCCTCTCCCTCCTCACTCTTTTTCTTGTTTTGTTTTTTCTCTTCCTCATTCTTCATACTTTTATTATAAGAAGTGATGAAGTGGCACTGGTTCCCCACCCCCCCCCCACATCCCCCCCCCCCCCACACTCACTCTTTCACTATTTTATCTCCCATGCCAACGCCTCGGGCTTATTTATTCAATTTCCTTTGCTTGTGGTCTAGATTTGCTAGAAATTAAACCATATTCCACCATGATGACTAGAGGAAAGCGCATTTCTACTGCAACAGCCTCCAACACACGAGTTAAACGCCCGTGGGCCAGCAGTACATCTCGCCCCACCAAGTCCAAGAGGCCCAAGCAGACCTCTCAAGTACACTCGGTTCCCGCTGTCAACCCGCCCGAAGTGCCGCACCCGAGCGAACTTTCACGAGAGCCGGCGATCAGTGGGCCATCCTCAGTGTCAAGTCCCGCGGCCCCGAGGTCTATCGTCTCTCAGGATATGGTTTCCAGCATCACGAGTGCTATCTCGTCAGCTGTACTTGAAAGCCTGAAGTGTGCAAGGATAATCCCTCAAGAGCAAGTACAGACATCCGACCCTGCTGCTGCTGTTTAGGGGTCAGTAGCGCAGGTTGTTCAAGACCTAACTGGTGAGGGCCACACTTTAACTTCTACCTCCATTACTAGCGGGCCCGAGACCTCTCGGAGTAGAGTTCCGGACAAAATTCAATCTAAAATATGGGCCAACGAATATATCGATCTCGGAACTCTTCTATCGTCCTTGCCAGGCGAACCTAAATACAACTTCACGGTAAAATCCTATGGATCCAACCAGCCTGTGGTCAGTCTCGAACCTGTCCAAAACTCTAAGCACATTACTAGCATCGATCAATGGACTACCACATTTCACGTTTTTGTTGTTGACTATACCATCCGATTTCCGGACAGCGCTCCCGGATTAATGAAATACAGTGCGACAGTGCGCGATTTGGAGACAAAAAACGCTCACTGGCGTTATTATGATGAAAATTTTCGCTGTTTACGTCAAAAATCTCTCTTCCCTTGGGACGAAGTGCATTGGGAATTGTGGTTGCAGGCGCACCACATGACCAAACTTTCATCCTCAAACAATCCGCCTAACTCCTTTAACCAGCAATCAAAGCAGCCCTTTCCGCGAGGATTCTGCTGGAAATTCCACCAAGGTGAAAGATATTTTGGGTGTAATTTCAAACACGCCTGCTTTAAATGTGGAGGCGATCACCCAGCCACAAAATGCAAGTCAGGAAAACCAAACGCCGCCACCTCTCGCACTGTCGCATCCAGTCCAACTACCAACACCAATCAAAGTAAATAGATTACATTTTTACCTAGATGGCTATCCAACTAAATTGAAAGACTATCTTTTAAATGGGTTTCAACATGGGTTTTTATTAGATTATGTAGGGCCCCACAAACCCTCCAGTTGCAAAAATCTTTTATCCGCTACTCAAAACCCTGCAGCCGCTGCCGATAAACTGTCAAAAGAATTAAGTCTAGGTCGGATTGCAGGGCTATTTTTCGAAAGACCTTTTCCTTCATTACGCATTTCTCCGCTTGTTTTAATTCCTCAAAAGACGCCAGGAGAATTTTCGCCTTATTCACCACCTATCTTTTCCTCACGGTGATTCTATTAACTCGTGTATTCCTAACGATACCTCTACGGTTAAATATGCCTCGATTGACGATGCGGTTAGACTCATCAGGCGCACAGGCAGGGGGCTGTGCCCTAGCTAAGACAGATGTCAGAAACGCTTTTCGTCTAATTCCAATAAATCCATGCGACTATGACTTGTTAGGTTTTGTTGGGAGGACAGCTTCTATTTTGATAAGTGCCTGCCGATAGGGGCCAGTTCCTCTTGCAAAATTTGGGAAAGCTTTTCAACCGCTCTCGAGTGGATTGCTAAGTCTAAGTTAGCTATATCAGGTGTTTTACACCTTTTAGATGATTTTCTTCTCATAGACAAAACTTTCTCAGCTTGTGAACAAAATCTGTCTAGGTTTTAAGCGATGTGTGACGACTTGGGTGTCCCCATGGCGCCTGAAAAGACAATGGGTCCCAGTAGTGTTTTATGTTTCGCTGGAATAGAACTAGACACTGACAAAATGGAGGCTCGCCTCTCAGAAGAAAAGCTAAGAAAATGAATTTCTCTTAATTATGAATTTCTCAAGCGTAAAAAAGTCTCCCTTAAGGAGATGCAATCCCTCATTGGTCTTCTGAACTTCACTTGTTCTGTCGTCATACCCGGCGCGGCAGGACTTTTCTTAGACGACTGATTAATTTGACAGTTGGGGTCAATCGCCCGTCTCATTTAATTAGATTAACGCTTATAGTCAAGGACGATCTTAAGCTCTGGTTAGAATTTTTAACACACTTCAATGGCAAATCATTCTTCTTAGATTTTCAATGGCTTTCATCACCTCACTTGCATCTTTATACTGATGCTTCTGGCTCTCTAGGCTATGGAGCAGTGTTTCATCAGAATTGGTTTTACGGTCCGTAGCCACCATCCTGGACCTCTAAGAATATTATTGTGCTAGAAATGTTTCCTATTGTTCTCAGTATAAAAATATGGGGTATTCAACTAGCGAACAACTGCATAACCTTTCACACCGACAATCAAGCCTTGTCGGAAGTAATTAATAAAAAGACGACTAATGATAGGGAGCTGTTGGTTCTTCTTCGCGCCTTGGTTTTATCTTAGTTGCACGTTCACAACACGAAAGCTGATGCTTTATCGCGTTTACAGGTGACCAAATTCAAGTCCCTGTCCAAGGACATGGCTCCAGAACCAACAGCTGTGCCTCCTCAACTGTTACCAGAGAACTGGCAGTTATGACAAAAACTCGTTTAGAGGCAAGCTTAAGTAACGCTTCCGTATCAGTTTATAAACGACCTTGGAAGTTATTTACAGATTGGTCGGCTTCTTATTTTGGGGATATGCCTATTAATTTGCCTCTTCAACCGGCCATACTGGATCTTTTTATCGCGCATCTATACTCTAGGAGTTATTCTTCTTCGTCAGTAACCACTTACATTTCTGCTATTAGTTACGTTCATAAACTTGCCGGTGTCGCTGATCCTCCTGAGGCGCCACTTATTATAAAAATTTTAAAGGGTTATCGGAAACTAACTCCCGTTAATGATGTCAGGTTACCTATTACTTTACCAGTATTACGGAACTTAATTAGAGCTTTCGAGCATTCCCTTTCATCACATTACCAGTCTCGTCTCATGTCTGCCATGTGTGCTTTGGCATTTTTCGCTTTTCTCCGCATTGGGGAGTTAACAGGCTCTCGAGGCAACACTACCAATATCATTAATGTTTCGCAACTAGACCGACTTGTTGATGCTCAGGGCCGAATTCCGAATTCAGGCACTGCAGCTTACTTTGCATAACTACAAGCATAAGAATTCTGGGACACCTTTTGTTATTTTTATCTATCCTGAAAGTTCATGCTGTCCAGTTCAGTTGATTTTAAACTTTTTAGCTGTGCGAGGGTCGGTCTCTGGCCCTCTTTTTTGTTGGCCCGACGGAAGTCCGATTAATAGATCCTATTTTCAGGTTGATGACTTAATGTAGCACCTACATTTTGCAACTTAGACACAAAGCTATATAAAGCGCACAGTTTTCGCATTGGCGCTGCCAGTTGGGCATCTGCCAAAGGCTTTTCAGACTCCCAAATTCGCTTGCTAAGTCGCTGGAAATCAAGCACTTTTCTTCGCTATACTAGAACTCCGTGTTTAGGAACAACTTTAGATACTAGTACTTGAAGACACAAACAGGCGTTAATTGTGTTTTCGTCCTCCTTTTAGCAAACAGCCTTCGGGTGGGGCTGGGCCGCTTAGGAGCGACCCGTGGCCTTTTTCTTCTGGCCCTCAACTTTGCTAGACCTATAAATTCGTAAACATTATTTCATATTTTAACATTGATAAGATGATTTTGCAGTTTTAAATAAAACCGGCCGTTAACTTGGCCATGTTTTTAATCCCAGACCACAGTCTCGGTTTTCTTTGTTTCCTAAGTTAAGCGCTCTAGTAAACAAAGCTCGGCTGTTGGCGGTAAAGGGGAGTTTATTGTTAGTGTTTTAGTAAACCGGGGAGGAGACATAAAACACTTTTTAGGCTATCCAGAGTACTTTTAGATCTCTAGAAATGCATCCTAAGCGGCGCTGTAAAATTTGTACCTGTTCGGTCATCTTGGGTAACTTGAGTCTTTTCGAATATTGGACCTAACTTAGCTAAAACAATTCCGGCGTCTGGCAAATCTCATCGTTCTTTTCTGAATGGAGGCTTTATTAATTCATTTTTTCTTCAATCGGCATCAGAACAAGAAGTCTCTGAGATTTATAGCAGCTTTCGATCCGGTACTGCTCCAGGATATGATAGTATTTCAATGAATGTTGTTAAAGAGTCTTTTAACTTAATCTGCGCACCATTGACGTATATAATTAACTTGTCTCTTTATTCTGGAGTTGTACCCCAAGAGATTCATTGACTTATCTAAGCCCTTTGATACAATAAATCATGAAATTTTGCTTGACAAATTAGAACATTATGGAGTACGTGGTATTGCTTTACAATGGTTTAAAAGTTATCTATCTTGTCGGAAACAATTTGTGCAATATAATGGTTACAACTCTTCATCATTAGATATCACTTGCGGAGTCCCTCAGGGATCTATCTTAGGTCCCCTGTTATTCTTAGTATATATAAATGATCTATGTAATGTGTCAAAGGTCTTAGAGCTGATACTATTTGCTGATGACACTAATATCTTCTATT